TTCCTTCGTTCTCTCTCCTGCTCTCCGTTCTTTCCTCATTTCGGTCCCTCAGCGTCAATCCCAGTTGACCCATCATCACCACCACCACCAATGTCTCCACCACCCGGTCCGACTCATTCAACACCCACAAGTCCATCGTCACCGCCCTCATCTTCGGAACCTCCGACTTCGCCTCCTACGTCGCCTCCGTCTCATTCAACACCAACCAGTCCTACTTCGCCTCCTTCTCATTCAATACCAACTTCCCCGGGATCTCCGGGATCAACGATACCTTCACATCCAACATCACCCTCCCCGTCTTCCCCTCCATCTTCGCCTCCATCTCAAAAACCATCCCACCCCGGCTCCGGTTCTGGCACCGGCGCTGGAGGTGGTCCTAGTGGGTCAAGACCTCCTGGTGGTGGTGGTGCCAGTGCCGGTGCCGGTGCTGGTGCAGGTGCTGGTGCTGGTAAACATGGGTTCGTGGGGGAGGATGATCGTGGGGTGGTCACGGTAGTGGTGGTTGCAGAGTCTAAATCGAAGAAGACAAGGAAAGGTATGTGGGGATTGAAGTTGGGGAGTAAACCTGCTACGTAGAGGGTGGGCGTGGGTGGGGTGGGGAGAGGGGAGTGGGGTGGGAAGGTGCGTGAGGAGCGGGAGAGGACGACGAGGACGACGATGAGGCTAATGACGACTTTTTATGATAGATAGACTGATTTTATTGTACGTTCAATGTAATGATACTACTCACTGTATTCTATTCGAAACCGGACTCGACGTATCAATATATCAATGGTACCACTCCGTCTCTCTTCCCACCGTATAAAGAACTTAAATGGTCGACTCAACGCTCGTACTATATATATCTCTCATAGTACAATGGTTTAATACACACACTGCCTATCTTGTTGTGGTACAATTATCGGTGTGAGATCCGGGTTCGATTCCCAGTGAGAGATATACGAGGGGAATAGGTTATACTATTTATTTCTCGTTTTAGGGGACCGAGCTCGGTTCGGTGGATGTATCCAATATTCAGGCCCAGTGAGAAGTCGTTCGTCGTTTTCC